TTCTATGTCGGTTATAAGTGTTAACCGACATAGAAAGTATTATGACAAGTCGTAACCGCTTATGATCGATCGAATAGCTCATACAAAATAAGACTTTCTACGTCGGTTCCTCGACTAACCGACGTAGAAAGTCCTTCTATGACCGATCGAACCAGCTTATGATCGATCGGAATAGCTCTATGACCGATCATAACCATTTTGACCGATCATAATAGCTCAAAGAAAGTAGGTCTTTCTACGTCGGTTCCTATTAACCGACCTTTCTACGTCGGTTAGTAGGAACCGACGTAGAAAGTCTTACTTTCTATGACCCCCGTATCTATGTCGCCGCTTTAACCGACGTCGAAAGCCCATTTTAACCGATGTAAAAAGCCTTTTTTGCAGTAGTGCCTGACTTGTGTGCATCAAAAAGGCATGAAAATCCTAACTTGGGAGGTGCTGTTTTGGGAAATTTTTTTAAACAAAATATTAATTATGTAAAAAAGTTGCAAAATAATCGATCATAATTTAAAATAATCGATTATTTTTAAATTATAATCGATTAGTTTAGCTTATAATCGATTATAAATAGTTGCAGGTTTCCTCGCTCAAGCGACGGAATTCTCGCTTGAGCGACAGTTGACCACAGGCTAAAGCTTCAACGCAGTTAGCCACATAATCCAACTTGGATCACCACATAATTCAATCAGTTCTCGCTCAAGCGAAATTACGCATCGCTTGAGCGAAAATTGACCATAGGCTAAAGCTTCAACGCAGTTAGCCACATAATATAACTTGGGTCACCACATATTTCAATCAGTTATCGCTCGAGCGAAATTACCCATCACTTGAGCGAGAATTGACCATAGATTATCCATTAGTTTCAGGTCTCCTCACTCAAGCGATGAATTTCTCGCTTGAGCGAGACAGAAATAATCGCTCATAATTTAAAATATTTGATTATTTTAAAATTATGATCGATTAATTTTAAATTATAATCGATTATAAATTTTCTCGCTCAAGCGATGGGTTCCTCGCTTGAGCAAGAATTGCCCACATGCGTTTAAGTTAACCAATCACTTCTCGCTCGAGCGAAATTACCCGTCGCTTGAGCGAGAATTGACCACAGGCTAAAGGTCCAATGCAGTTAGCAACATAATGCAACTTGGGTCACCACATATTTCAATCAGTGCTCGCTCGAGCGAAATTATCACTCGTTTGAGCGAAAAAACACCCGAGATTACCTATTAGTTTCACCTCTCCTTGCTCAAGCGAAGGATGTCTCACTTGAGCGAGAATTTTTTCGCTCGAGCGAATTTAAACCCCACAAAACCCTTAAGTTCCAAGTACTCTCGCTCAAGCGATTCATTTCTCGCTTGAGCGAGAGTAACGTGAACAGTAAACAGTGCTACTTTCGTAAATAATATTACATATGTGCTATTTTGGAAAATATTTTTTAAAATAGTATTATTTATAAAAAAAAGTCCAAAACAATGTGTTCTAATTTCTAAACACGTCCATGGCTATATATTCTACCTCCCAATCCAAAGGACAATAACCAAACAAAATTGGTATAAGTGGTAATGTGGGCGACACAGAAAACGCTAGAATATGTAAAAATAAAATTTTAATAAGTAAATCACATGTTACATTTTTCACATTTTTTTTACATAAAAAAGTATTTTTATTAAATAAAGATAGCATTGCTTTTAATATTTTTGTCTAATATGTTTATTTTAATTCTGTTTTCATGTGATATTAAGTGAATCATCTGCTTTTCAAGAAAGCAATTTGTTTTAAATATTTTATTTTAAAAACACTTATTCATATTTAACAGATTGTCATATCTACTTCTTAAATAAGTACATTTTTTTAAAATTATTAATTTCGACACTTATTTAAATTTGAAAAAAATTGTCAATTTCTGGTATTGTGTTGTCTGTTGTACGTCCTACCACATTTTGGAAGTGCTTGTATGATCACATCGTCTTTTCTCCTTTATTCCTGTTGAATATAGAAGAAATAGAGTTTGTGATTAATCTCCCTTGTGTATAAATCACACATAGGGTAGTCTATTTATAGTAGAGAGATACAACTAAAAGAGTAACTGAAAGTAACGGAATAAACAGAAGATATTGTTTGATATTATGGTTAATATCTAACAATATCTTAACAATATTAAATAATATCTAAACAATATCTAACACTCCCCCTCAAGCTGGAGCATACAAATCGTATGTGCCAAGCTTGTTACAAATATAATCAATTCTAGGACCCCGTAAAGATTTAGTAAAAATATCTGCTAACTGATCACTTAAGTTAACAAACTCAGTCTTGATGTCTCCAGACATAATCTTTTCTCGAATGAAATGACAGTCAATCTCAATGTGTTTGGTCCTTTCATGAAAGACAGGATTAGAACTAATATGAAGAGCAGCCTGATTGTCACTAGGCATGGCAACGGGGCGGGGCGGGGGCGGGTTTTGCCTCCCAGTCCCCGCCCCGACTTTTAACCATCCCCGTCCCGCCCCGATCCCGCGGGGTTAGGAATTAAGTCCCCATCCCCGTCCCCGCTGGGTTTCGGGTTCCCGCTCCCGCCTCGTCCCCAATTTATATTATTTTTAAAAAGATAATTATATTTATAATAAATTAATTTTACTATGTATTTTTATATATAAATAAATATTTATAATTTATAGTTATTATTAATTAAATATACATTTTAATTTATTATATTTATATTAAAATATATATGTAAAAGAAATATTTAATTATTTTTTATTTATATATATATATATAATATTTATAACATTATTATTATTATTATTATTATTATTATTATTATTATTATAACACTCGTATTCAAATATTTGAATATTTATAACATTATTATTATAATACTGTATTCAAATATTTAATTATACATATAAGTTAATTCATTTTTAAGTTGTCAATATATAGTTTATAAGAAAATATTTAATAAGTTAATTCTTATTTAATTAGTTTGAAGTAATAAAAGTTTAAATTATTAATTTCTTTTAATCCTTTAAAATGCAATTATTTTATTAAGATAAAATTTGATATATGATAAATAAGCATAATAAGATAAAAAAATATGGCATAATAAATATAAATTATAAATAAACTAATATTAGTTACTACTAAGATTGATGTAAAATATTTAAAAAAAGATAAAGAAAAAAGATTAACTTTGTGTTCATCAAATTGGTTGAAAAGATTGAAAAAAAAACAAATTGATGGGAGAGACTAAGAAAATGTGAAAAACTGAAAGATAAGGGAGAGAATAATATAATAAATTAATTGATATAAAAGATTGAGAAAGATAAAAAAAATTAAAAAGTGGGTAGAAGAAAAATAAAAATTGGTGAAATATAAAAAAATAACATTATATGTAATAGAAAAAGAAAATGAAATACTTTTAAAATATTAATATTTTAAAATTTAAATTTAAATATAAAGTCGGGGCGGGGTCGGGGTGGGGATTGCATTACCCATCTCCGCCCCCGCCCCGACTTTTTAAAGCGGGAAAAACCCGAACCCGACCCCGCCCCCGGTCAACTCGGGGTTTCTCCGTCAAACTCGGGGCGGGGACGGGTCGGTCCCCACGGGTACGGGTTTAATTGTCATCCCTAATTGTCACACACAAGTGACATTTGAGTGACATCTCCAAATTGTAACTCTCTAAGCAATTGCTTGAGACAAACAAGTTCACAAGCAGCTGAGGTCATAACTCTATATTCTGCTTCTGCACTAGATCTTGCCACAACACTTTGTTTCTTACTTTTTCATGAGACCAAGTTACCACCAATGGAGACACAATATCCAGATGTAGATCTTCTATCCGAAGGAGATCCTGCCCAATCAGCATCTGAGTAACAAACAACTCTTGTATGGTTATTAGAATCATATAACAATCCTTTTCCAGGAGATCCTTTAATATACTTTAAAATACGAATGACTGCATTCCAATGATCTTCACATGGGGAATTAAGAAATTGGCTTACCACACTGACTCCAAAGGAAATGTCAGGACGAGTAACTGTAAGATAATTCAATTTTCCAACCATTCTTCTATACTGCTCAGGATCAGGTATAAGCTCCCCCTGATTTGGTAAAAGTTTAATATTGGGATCCATGAGTGTATCAACAGACTTTGAATTCATCAACCCAGTTTCCTCTAAAATATCCATGACATACTTCCTCTGAGATATAACAATACCATCATTAGACTGTGCCACCTCAATACCCAAGAAATATCTAAATTTGCCAAGATCTTTGGTCTGAAAATGGTGACAGAGATGTTGTTTCAACTGAGAGATGTCATGGTTGTCACTACCTGTAAGAACGATGTCATCAACATATACTATCAAGTAAACACATCCAGCACTTGAGTGTCGATAAAAGACAGAGTGATCTGCTTCACACCGAGTCATACCAAATTGTTGAACAACCTTGCTAAACTTTCCAAACCAGGCCCTAGGAGACTGTTTTAGGCCATATAGGGATTTGCGAAGACGACATACCATCCCAGAAGACTCCCCCTGAGCAACAAACCCAGGAGGTTGCTCCATATAGATTTCTTCTTGCAAATCACCATTGAGGAAAGCATTTTTAACATCTAGTTGATAAAGAGGCCATTGTTGAAGAGCGGCCATGGCGATAAATAAACGAACAAAAGTCATCTTTGCCATAGGGGAAAAGGTATCTCCATAATCCAACCCAAAAATTTGAGTATAACCTTGTGCGACAACATTTCTGGACCCTTATCCATTAAGTTGTGCTTATGATACCAACTACTCTCATTTCATTTCATAAATACATACATAAATAATCCCCATAATTATTTATGCTTATGATGCATAAAATAATTTGTGGCCAACATTTGTTAAATCCTGGACATAGGCAAATGTCTATAAATAGCCATCACATTTGTGAACATAACACACACAACTCTCAACTTTTATTCTATCTATTTTCTTCTGAACCATTTGCTCCAATCAATGGCTCATTTGCTTCTCTTTGTTTTGGTGTTTGCTGCTCAACTGATTGCTCGATTCAATACCCAAAAACTACCAACATCCCACTTTGGAAGTATGATAACTATCCTGAGCATTGATGGTGGTGGTATATTAAGGGGATTATTCCAGCAACAGTTCTTAGTTACTTGGATAAGGCTCTTAAGGTTGATTATTATTGTTAATATTATATATGTATTCAAATGGCATGAGTGAATGAATATTTATGAGGTTGCTTTGAATTTGTTTGAGTGACAGGCAAAGGATCCAAATGCAGATTTAGCACATTATTTTGACGTGATAGGAGGGACAAGCACGGGTGGACTCATAACAGCTATGTTAGCTGCCCCAAGCCCTGATGACCCTAGTCGTGCTGCCTTTACTCCTGCACAAATTGTAGACTTATACATTGAAGATGGCCCTCATATATTCAATACATCTAAGTGACTTTTTTTCATAAATAATACTGTTTTCAAAAATATTTACCAAAATAGCACCTCTACAACTTTATTTACACAACTAGCACTGTTTACTGTTCACGTAATAAAATAATATTATTTTGCGCAACTGTTCACTGTATTAAAATAATATTATTTCGCGTACTGAACTCTCGCTCAAGCGAAGAAAACCTTCGCTTGAGCGAGGAAACCTGTAACAAAGGGGTAATCTGGGGTAAATTCTCGCTCAAGCGAAGGTTTTCTTCGCTTGAGCGAAAAGTATGATCGACTATTATCCAATTATAGTCGATCACTTTGACATATATGACTTTAGATAGCGGTTATTTGGCCAACCGCTATCTAAACTACTACATTAGATAGCGGTTATTTGCCCAACCGCTATCTAAACTACTACTTTAGATAGCGGTTATTTGGCCAACCGCTATCTAAGGTGACTCAAGCGAACTGTGTTTGGCGTTTCATGATTCGGTCATTACTCGCTCAAGCGACAAAGTCACCGCTTGAGCAATGAAGCCTTCAAACAAGGGGGACTCTCGGGTTCTGTTTCGCTCGAGCGAGGCGTACTTTCGCTCGAGCGATAAGTGATTGAAATATGTGGTGACGCAAGTTGCATTATGTGGCTAACTGCGTTGGACGTTTAGCTATGGTCAATTATCGCTCAAGCGAGAAAATATCGCTTGAGCGAGAAAACCTGCAGGGGACCCAGGTTGCATTATATGATGTTGCTGAAAGGGGAGTTTGTTCTGTTTATGAAATTATATTGTTTCTGTATTGTTTTACCTGGAGCTGACTGTAATTGATTCATTGAAGGTGAATATGGGGATGATAGCATGTAAAGAGAATTTAAAATTTCTTGACTGATGGTTGGTTGGTTACTCAGGGTTAAAGTGCTTGAGGTTGTGGGGCTGTCAAGCATCAATTCTGTGGAGTGGCTTAGAATGATCAAAGAAGTGTTTTTACAGTATTTTAATCGATACAAATTACTTTTCATCGATTAAAACCCTTTAGAACCCATTATGACCGATCAGATATGAAATATGAGCGATCAGAACTTATTTCAATCGATTAAAACACGTTTCAATCGATTAAAATCACTTCAAGGGTCAGAATGATCGATCAGAATGCAGTTATGACCCATCAGAGTTGGTTATGATCGATCAGAATTGAATTATGACCGATCAGATCTGTTTCAATCGATTATAACGTATTTCAATCGATTAAAATAACTTGGAAAAATTTTGTACAGAGTTTCAATCGATTAAAACGCGTTTCAACCGATTAAAACAACTTCGAAAAAGTTTGTACAAAGTTTTAATCGATTAAAACTTCTTTTTATCAGCTAAAATAACTTGGAAAGTTTTTATAAGAAAGTTTTGCAGTATATCAATCGATTAAAACACGAAACAATCGATTGAATCAAACTTAGAAAAGTTTTGTAAAGTGTTTTAATTGATATAACCGTTGTAGTATCAGCTAAAACAAATCTGTTAAAGAATGAAGAACGTATTAATGGATTGAAAGGACTTTTAACAGATTGAAACGGCTATTTCAACAGATTAAAACAAACTTTCAACAGATTAATTAATGCAGCAGTTATGAAAATACTCTTTAAAATCAGTTTGCTTGAACTTTTTAAACATACATTGAATAAGATCTTCGTTTTATCAAATGATTCAATAAGATCTTCATCATTTTCAATTAATTGAAAAACTCCTAAGTTTCATACATTGAGACATTTCTTAACTAACACAATCTAATGATGCGAAGTAGATGCACATGCAATATTGGGACATGTTCTTACTGCTATGACCAGGGGTATGACAATATGAACATTTTTTAATCCTACTTTGATGTTCCGTAATGTCCATCTCGGTTCTTATACGACTTGATTTTGGTCGGCCCTTTGAAGTTATTTTCATTTACGGATTTGCACACAAAGTAGGTCCTGTGTATGTTGGCCAATATTCTTCATTTCGCAATAACCCAAATTGTGTTCCGTATACCTTTGAAACTTGTTGTAAGGTATACACTGAATTAATATAGTTGTTGAAGTCATGGTGTGCATGCTTGCATGCAGCAAGAACATGTAAACAAGGCATGTGAAATTTTTGGAATTTCCCACAGTCACACCATAACTCATCAAGGTGAACTGCAAACTTCCCTGCTGGTCGAACTTCACGCGGGTTTTGTGTTTCTTCTACTACAAATTTTGTGGTAGACCTGTCAAACGTTATGACCCTGTGCGTGTTTGCCTGTGTTTGTGCTTCCTCTAAATTCTTGACCAAAATTTCAGAGTATACATGACCAGCATTGATGATGGCATCTATCTGCCTCCCTCTTTCAATGAAAAATTTGTTGCAACGGGTGTACGTTGCGGTGACCATGGAGCGAAAGTACGCCTCGCTCGAGCGAAACAGAACCCGAGAGTCCCCCTTGTTTGAAGGCTTCATCGCTCAAGCGGTGACTTTGTCGCTTGAGCGAGTAATGACCGAATCATGAAACGCCAAACGCAGTTAGCTTGAGTCACCTTAGATAGCGGTTGGCCAAATAACCGCTATCTAAAGTAGTAGTTTAGATAGCGGTTGGGCAAATAACCGCTATCTAATGTAGTAGTTTAGATAGCGGTTGGCCAAATAACCGCTATCTAAAGTCATATATGTCAAAGTGATCGACTATAATTGGATAATAGTCGATCATACTTTTCGCTCAAGCGAAGAAAACCTTCGCTTGAGCGAGAATTTACCCCAGATTACCCCTTTGTTATAGGTTTCCTCGCTCAAGCGAAGGTTTTCTTCGCTTGAGCGAGAGTTCAGTACGCGAAATAATATTATTTTAATACAGTGAACAGTTGCGCGAAATAATATTATTTTATTACGTGAACAGTAAACAGTGCTAGTTGTGTAAATAAAGTTGCAGAGGTGCTATTTTGGTAAATATTTTTGAAAACAGTATTATTTATGAAAAAAAGTCCATCTAAGTATGATAATATTAATATTTTCAGAACATCATTAATATTGATAATTAAGGTTGGCTGGTAACATACTTTTGTTTCTGATGATGAACCAACCAACATGCAGTCCTGGAGAAGGTCCCATATTCGATGGTCAATATTTGCATAACATAACACGTGAACTGTTGAAGGACACACGACTTAATCAAACATTGACAAAAGTTGTAATCCCAACTTTCGACCTCAAGAGACAAAAGGCAGTTCTATTCTCAAGCTACAAGGTTAGCTAGGAGCATGTGCACATATTTTTAATATATTGACAAGATAAATTAATATAAATGTTTTGGTGTATGCAGCTTGAGAGTGCTCCCTACTTAAATGCCTTGTTGTCTGATATATGCATATCAACTTCAGCTGCACCCGTGTATCTGCCACCCTACTATTTTGTGAATGATGGTGTTGAGTTCAATATGATTGATGGTGGTGCAACAGCTGGGAATCCGGTAAATTAAGTTGATTATTGATAATAATACAAGTCAATATGATGCATAAATACACTATACAATATATCAAGTTTAACAATATATCACCGGTGAGTGAAGTGTTACAACACAATAAGTATCCCAAAATCCTAGTGTTGTCTAGGGACTGGAACCACGAATATTAAAGAGATCTATGATGTTCAAATGGCTGCCACATGGAACCTTCTGGACTGGATTACTAAAGGAATAGGTCTTCTCGGTGGTGGTTCAACAACCATGATTGAATTGTACCTTGCTTCACTCTTCTTAGGCTTCCAACATGACAATACCTACCTTCGAATTGAGGTATATATTCTTTTTTATTTAGAGAGAAATGATGATTTGACAATCACTAGTAATGAGCCATTATTTTCCCGCATTTTCTTATCTTTATGTACTTATCTTAATTGGTGCATTGTGTTTAATTGTCTATTATTAGTGCATTTTTATTAATTGGGCTTCATTGGGCTATTATTCCAAATTTTGCTTAATTTAGCATTAATTGGTCTAATTTTTGTTTCTAATTATTTTTACGTATTTTTGGTGAAACAATTTTGAAGTATGGACATTAATATTGAGATGAAGAGAGTTTCCACATCACTACCATGTCACTGCCACGTCACTTGCCATGTCAGCTGCTATTTCCACATCATATTAATGATTGCCACGTCAGCTAGGGTTTGTTTGATGTGTAATCTCGTGTGGGCTAGCTTGAGCCCATTCCTAGGGGACTCTAGGGTTAGGGTAGGCTGGTATTTTTAGAGGAGCAATAGGAGGAGGAGAGAGGCAGCCACTGTAGTTCTGTTTCACATTTGTTTTCATGCTGGTTTTTTCTGCATTTTAATTTGGACTGCTCAAGGCTCATTAAGAGTTTGGTTCAATTTCGTTTTCTACTGCCATGAAACCACCACACAGCCGCCTTTCATCTTTTGCAATTTATATTCAAGTTTGTTTACTCTTCTGTCATTATTTTTAAATTCTTGTTTCGATTTTAATTATGTTTCTTCTATTGCATTTTCAACTTTCCATGGATAGCTAAATCTTTGTATTGATTTTCTGAGAAGAATGCAAGTACATCTTTGAAGTTTTGTTCTTCAATTTCATTTTGTTTGTTCTCTTAACTCTTCATCTTCTAATCTCAGTGTTGAATTATAATATGTTTATGCTTAATAAACCGAAACTAATATAACAGTTTGCTTACTTCTGTGTTAGAGATGAGATTATGTGATGTATGCAATGCTTAATTGTATAAGGATAATTTGGGGTTAATCTTCGCTTAGTTGGTTAATTTCATGTTGGAATAAGGGTTAAGGAAAATTTAGGATTAATCTTCGCTTAGTTGGTTAATTTCGAATTGGAACAAGGGTTAAAACTAATTTGAGATTAATCTTCGCTTACTTGATTAATTTCGAATTAGAATATAATTTGGGATTTATCTTCGCTTAGTTGGTTAATTTTGAATTAATTTCGTAATCTAGGATAAGTGACACTGCATTAGAATCAGGAAATCAATTTCATTTTAATCTGTTTTTAATCCGCATTTTTATAATCTGCTTTTGTTCTGTTTCATCTAATATATTTTAATTTTGAAAAACTCCTTTTTTTTTGTTACTGTTCTAATTTTAAAAATTGATAAGCTTTGATAGAAATTCGTGGTCTTTGGGAGACGACCTAGGAAAGCTTCCTAGTACTACATTTATCTTGTTTTAATTATTTGACCGAAGTACGACATCGATCAAATTTGGCGTCGTTGTCGGGGACCAAGATTTTTGTCTAGGTTTTCAATTTTTATTTTTCGTTTCTGTTTTTGTTTTTTTTTGTTTTTATTTTATTTTATTTAAATATTTTATTTCATTTTCAGTTATTTGAATATTTTATTTGATTTGTTGTTATTTGGATATTTTATTTGATTGTCGGTTATTTAAATATTTTATTTGATTTTCAGTTATTTGAATATTTTATTTTATTGTTAGTTATTTGAATATTTTAATTTGGATATTTTATTTGATTTTTAGTTATTTAAATATTTTATTTGATTTTCAGTTATTTGGATATTTTATTTGATTTTCTATTTAATTTAACATTCTTACTTCTCTTAATACTATTTTGATAGTCCACTGTTGTTCTAAAACTCTTTTGGGTTAAAAAAAAGAAAATAAATAAATAAAAAATAAATATAAATAATAATTCAAAAAACAATTTCATCTCTAATTTGTTTTTCTAGCTTTATTTAAAAAAAAGTTATAATTTCCATTCTCATAGGAAACTCTGGATATAGCTAGGTAGTGTGAGAGTGCATGTCTAGGAGGGTTCTGGCTAGGAAAGACTTGGTACTTAAATGTGTCCATTAGTGACCCACCTCTCTTTCCTGGGAACCTACCTGGTATACTTGTTCACGGTCTACCATTGTCATTCCAGTAAACAACTGATTTTTTTTAGGAATTTTTTTGTTAACTCTTGGGAAATACATTAATTGTTGAATATAGTGCATGACTAGAAGCAATCCCGACCTTTTACAACCCTTTGATCCTGAAATAAATAAGACCTTTCATAGACTAGTTAGGCATTCTAGGAACGTGTCTTTAGATGATGTTCATTTAGATAGCATTAGTTTAAGTAGTTCTGACCATTTTTCTGCATCTGACCATTCTGCTGCATCTAAACATAATCTTGATTTTGATAACATGGGTGAGCAAAACAATTTTGGACCTCGTGAGAGAACTCTCAGGGAGATGGTTGCACCTGATTTCACTTATGCAAATTTATGTATCCAATACCATGAAGAGGATGTACCATTTGTGCTTAAAACTGGACTAATCCATTTGTTGCCCAAGTTTCATGGTTGTGCAAGTGAGGATCCACACAAGCATCTCAAGGAATTCCATATAGTCTGCTCCACCATGAAGCCACCACTACAAGAAATATTAAAATTACCGACGGTCAAAATCCGTCGGTAAATGAATATTACCGATGGAATTCCGACGGCCAAAAATCCGTCGGAAATTCGCTTGTCGGTAAATATTACCGACGGATTTATCCGTCGGTAAATATGTTACTGAAATTACAGACCGATTTATCCGTCGGTAATAATTTTATTAATTATTAAATATTTTATTTATTTATAACATTATTTTTTTATAGAACCCCTCCCCCTTATATTCTTATTATTTATTATTAATTATTTCAATTATTTCTCCATATTATATTTTTATAACTTTGAATTATTGTCAGATTAAGAGAAATGTCATTGGCAGGATTCGAACCCAGTACCTTAGAGTCGAGGACGATACTCCAACCACTAAGCTACTAGAATTTCTTGATAACAATTTACAAATAAATTATATTTATATACAAATATACAAATACATTTATATATATTTATATATATTTATATATATTTATATATATTTATATATATTTATATATATTTATATATATTTATATATATTTATATACATTTATATATATATTTATATACATTTATATATATATTTTTATATATTTTTATATATTTTTATATATTTATATATATTTATATATATTTATATATATTTATATACATTTATATATATTTATATATATTTATATACATTTATATATATTTATATATTTATATATATTTATATATATTTATATATATTTATATATATTTATATATATTTTTATATTTATATATATATTTATATATTTATATATTTTATATTTTATATTTTATATTTATATATATTTATATATTTTTATATTATATATTTGTATATTTTTATATATTTATATATATATATATATATATATATATATTTATATATATTTATATATAATTAAATATTTATTTTTAAAATTACTTAATTTAATAAATTATTATAAATTAATCTAATTATGATTAAATTAAATTATTAAATAAAAAATATTTTATTTTTTAATTAGTGAATAATTAAATTATATTATATAATTTTACCGACGGATTTATTCGTCAGTAAATAATTTTTAATTTACATATGAATTTACCGACGGATATATCCGTCGATAATTACTTGTTAATTTATCGACGGATTTACCGACGGATATATCCGTCGGTAAATTCATCTATAAATTACCGACGGATTTATCGACGGATATATCCGTCGGTAACTAATTATTATTTTACCGACGGATATATCCGTCGGTAACATCAAATTTCACAAATATTTTATATCCGTCGGTAATTTCCGTCGGTAATGATTATTTTCCGACGGCTACAATTCCGTCGGTAAATATCCGTCGGTAATACGCGATTTTCTTGTAGTGCACAAAATGTTCCTGAAGATCACATATACCTGAAGGCTTTTCCTTTCTCTTTGGAGGATCTTGCCAAAGACTGGTTATACTACTTAGCTCCTGGTTCCATAACGAGCTGGGAGGATCTGAAGAGAGTCTTTCTAGAGAAAATTTTCCCTGCTTCCAGGACCACTGCTATCAGGAAGGATATATCAGGTATCACACAACAGATGGGAGAGAGCTTATACGAGTATTGGGAGAGGTTCAAGAGACTTTGTGCAAGTTGCCCTCACCACCAAATATCAGAACAGCTACTGCTACAGTACTTTTATGAGGGGATGAACACAATGGATAGGAGTATGATAGATGCAGCTAGTGGAGGAGCTTTAAGAGACATGACACCTGCTGCTGCTAGAGGTTTAATTGAGAAGATGACATCCAATTCCCAGCAATTTAACATGAGGAGTGATGACATAGTCCTTAGAGGTGTACATGATGTGGGTTCATCAGATTTAGTGGAGAAGAAGCTAGAAAGTAAGATTGATGCCCTCACCACCCTAGTCTCCCAACTTGCTGCAAATCAGAGACCTGCACCACCTACAAGGGTTTGTGGCATTTGTACTTCAATTGAGCATCCCACTGATTGCTGCCAATTATTGCATGAGTCTACAGGTTCTGGAGCTCCACAAGCTTATGAGCAAACATTTTCAATAATAGGGCTCCGAACCAACAACATAATTCTGACCTCTCAAGCAATAGATACAATCCAGGGTGGAGGAATCACCCAAATCTGAGATGGTCCAATCAGCAGCACCAACAACAACAGAATCCTTTGCCACCACCACCATTTCATAATTTTGCTGGTCCAAGCAGACCTTATGTGCCTCCACCAATGCAACAACAATATCAGAGGTAGCAAAATGAAGCATCAACACCTTAACCTTCTTCACCTTTGTCGCCGCCGTCCCTTTCGACGTCCCGGAGGACGCCTCGAAACGTTTATGCGAGCGGTCGCGAAAAGATGGTTTAGACTCGCGTTTTTGTTTTAAAAG